TATAGTCAGTGTGAAACATATTAAATGCAATTTTCTGCTTTTCTTCTGGTGTATCACTAGTGGCACGAAGTGGTAGTAGATTGCTAAGCATAATGATCTGCTGGGTTATGGTGTATCTCATGGTAGGGGTTATCAAAATTCCTTTTTATGGATTTTAAGGGGATAGGCCCCTTTTAATAACGATGCCTGGCCAGAACATGCAATATATTGGATGACTGCCATCTCCTTATTAATAAGGAGATGCTCCACAGCTCTTTCGAAACTTGTTTATTCAGCCAAGTGGCCATTGTACTTCTGTGCAAACAATAGTATTTCTGCAGCCCACAGCATCTTTACTATGTCCAATATAACTTGCTGGCATCCTCTAGCTGAATTGACTGAAGATACTCATTTTAAAACACATTTGCATAGATCAGTAAAATACTAAATTAGCACGAGATAGAACATATGTCTTTAGTAAGTTGCATTATCATAAATGTGCTTGAACGTTAGTATTTGGGCTAAAATTCACTAACAAATGTGTTTGTGTGGTTTCTTCATACAAACTGTTAGAATCTGAACTGCTCTTGAACAGTCAGTCAAGTAGTCTGATTTATTCACTCGTGTTGTTGTGGATAGCAAATTTGAAAATATTCAATAAAATCCAAGCACAAGAATATCAACAACAACGAAAAGCCCCATAAATCCAAGTGCATACTTTCTGTAAGCACTGATTTCTGCCGACTCTTCCCTTGCGAATTACTGACATCATTCTCAACACATCTTCTACCTTGTCCGAAGTTAGTGGGCTGTTCATACATCTCGATCCTACCTTTAAATAACCACACGTCTTGATAGCATCATTTGGGCCAATGCTATTAATTGGTTTTTCCTAGTGTCAGTATGTCCAAAATATACGGCACTTCGTGGGCGTAAAAGCTCTTCATATCTTGAGTTTTACCTGCAAAAACCTCAACCTCTCTCCTAATTTTATTAAAGCTGATGGTATTATCAATCTTGAATGTCGACAGTATTAACCTTATTTGCATATAGCATAACCATGAGGATACATCTTGGCTGACATCTGGCTTACTGGGCTTTTTAAATTGATTAATAAGCTCATCAAAATCGCTTTTGACAGTGTTCAAAACCGCTCTAACGACTTCGCCTTTTGTGATTTTCCTATTGCTGGTATATGACTTTTTGATAGTCTCAGAGATTATTTGGAAGATTGAGCCTTTTCCCATATTAATAAAAATGCTGTCAAACATATCCTTGTCATACTTAACTTCTTGTGATTTGGCTATGCTTGGTACGGAACTAAGCAACACCGACATGCAATCCAACATTTCAAGATCACTGAGTGTTTTCACAAACAGTTCCCGTCTTTCATCTGAAAGTGTGTTGCTGCTTTTTTCAAGCTCAATCACCAAAAGTATAAAGTACGAAAAGAATAGATCACCTGCTTCTGGCAGATACTTCGTTGAGTACTCAGAATCAAGCTTCTTCTCTAACTCAGCCAGACTTGCACCATCAAGAACCTGGCCTGGTGTCGCAGCTGGTTTTACCTCTGCCTCGGGTTGGCCTTGCCACCATCTAACTATACCTGAATACCAACGTTCTTCTGACTGTGGCTTAACATCAGACGTTGGTGCCATGAACTGAATGTTTTTGATTCTGTTTGTATTCTCGACAGCAATCCATGGTTGCAGAAGCTCACTTATCGTCTTCAGTGACCTGAAAACGCTGTCTGCCTTATCTTGGACCAGCTCCTTCAGATAAGCATCCTCTATATCCAGTAATCTAAAGTCATTGGCAATGGTATCATGGAGAAGACTAGGAAATTTATCATTACTCCATGGATTGCAAAATTCTGATATTAGTCTTTCGGTTAATTTACAGTTGTTAGCTCGTCTTTTGATATCGTTTTGCTCAAAAAATTTCTTGTTAAACCCAGTGAAGTTATTTCTATACAGAAACTTCATTTCTAAAAGTTCCAAAAGCTGCTTGCCTATGACACTTAGATCCTCCTTAAGATCTGTGAAGGGTATATTGTGTATCAACTCATGTCTTCTCTTTAAATAACATAACACCGGGAAAATTTTATGCTCTAAATCTACATAGCCATCTTTGTTTTGGCAAGTATCACCGACAAAGCAATAGTACAATTCTTCTGACTTTGCAAGGTAGATGTCTTTGTAGTTTCTGTGAAATTTAATGAGTGCATCTTGTTGTGATAATCCATCAGTAGCGCGGAGCATCGCCAAATTGCTGAAGAAGGCAATGAAGTGTTGAAATGTGCGGTATCTCATGTAAAGGGGATAGAGACTGAAAGTTTAAAAATTTCCAATAATCTCCAGAACTCCAATACAGCATTTGATGATTGTGAATACAATTCTTATTGCTTGCATGCTTCCTATGATAGTCTCAATAACCAAAGTCTGCATTAGAATCATATCACATATAGCTAGTTTGCATAAAGATACACTGCTGATAGGCTATTCTACTTTCCTCCGCTTTACTTCCTCATTCTTGCTAATTCTTCGTCTTGCAACTATAGACTTTGGAATCAGATTAAAAAATAAATATTGAATATATTGGAAAATATGCGGAACTGTAAAGTATGAATTGCCCAGAGTAGCAATAGCCCACTTGGCAGCTGTCTCCACAGTGGGGGTAAAACATGTAGATCTATCTATACTTTTACTATCAACCATATTTTCTATCTCCAGATATTCCACACATACATTAAACGGCATCATCTCATAGTACATAGATTGAGACCACGACTTAAATACACACTTTATTGCAGAATTCAAAGAATGGTGAGGAGAGGGCAAACACGAGTGCCCAAACCCAATGTTCACTATGTACCCCTTGTGCTTCTCAACCATTGATATCATGACTGTTTTTTCAAGATTTAAAGGCGCTTTTAGATGAGAATCTAGTACCTGATCAATGTTTTGCTCAATAAAGTGGAGAGGCACGGAATCACTACCTCCTATTTGATGTATGACAAGGCCAATGTCGTATTTTTCCAGAAATGAAAAATCCGAGCAATGCACGATGTCAATAGCCCTGTGAACAACACATATATTTTGGTCAAGTTTAGATTTTAGACTGAGGAGCCTATCTTCATTCGTGTCCAGTAAAATCATTTTAATCTTCTTTCTGGCCAGTGCTACACACAGGGCTGCACCAAACTCCGTCGTTGCATATGTGACAAGAACGAACTTGTCGCTTAGGGAGCTCCAGACAAAGCGATTGGTTGTAAATGAGTAGCTATAGACAATAACTATCGCCATTAGTGCAAAAGCCGTGTATGTAAAGGGAAGCACTATCATGATCCTCAACAGCATAGCCAGCACGAACTTAATCTTATAGTTGCCTAGAATCTCAACCAGCATAAGCTGGGGTTGTGAATGTCTTGCAAAAAAGACAGGTGATGAAAGAAGTTAAATACAAACATTCCAGCCATCGCTCTGATGTTTTATTTGCATTATGATTAGAATGAGCTAAATGGGGAATTATGACAATTTAGGTGCTGTTTTGGTGCTGTAAGTTTTACTGCATGAATTAAAGCAAAACCTAGCATTGATTGATGAGCATGTCAATACTCTTATGTTGTCATTTATTGTAATGCTAATTTATGTGCACAATCACATTCGATTTTAGATAGAAACTAATAAAACCACTTAAAACCAATTTGAGATAACCAAAGAGCAGGCCATTCTTCAGGTGTATTCACTGTCTATTTTCTTCAGTCCTAAAATGGCTCTTGTTTTCCACAATGGAGAAAGTGAATACACAGATGTGCTGAGAAATAGCAATCTGGGAGACTCGTATGTTTGTGTTATAGGTGGAGATGGTACGCTTCTCCGAGCACTGTCAAACTTTGGATATGGCTTGGTTCCTACTGTATTGGCATTTAACAATGGAACAGTAGGACACCTTTTACCATTGAAATTGCAAGACTTAAGAAATATACTCAAAGCCATAGAAAAGAATGAACTAACTACATTTAAAAAATCAAGGCTACTTGTGAGCTCGCATGGCATTCTTGTGGCCAATGAGTTGGTGGTAAGGTCAAAGATGTTTAGACTCAACAGATTCAATATCGCTATTAATGGATATGGATTCGAATTATATGCGAGTGAATTGGTGGTATCAACCCGTACAGGATCATCAGGGTATAATTTGTCACTCAATGGGCCATTGGCTTTTACAGAATGCATTATTTTAAACTGTGTTGGTGCGAACCGCACAAGATTTACCCCAATTGTGCTTCCGACTGATGTTAGGATAAGAATAGATACAGAAAACTGCTACGGAAGCTTCGACGGGAATGAATTGATCGAAAATGATAGATCCAACAATATGTTTGAAATAGCACAGGGAGATTCTTATGAAATTGCAGTGAGCGAAAGCTATCAGGACTTCGACAGGATAAATGAAATATTTTACAATACGAGAAATAAAAGTTAAAATGTAGTCTGTGCTGTTCACTCGCCAGTAAAGTCTTTGCAATATCGACAGCTATAGCAATAAAATTGCCTATTCAAAAGTAACACCATAATAACAAAGTGGTGCAGGATCTCCTTTAACTAAACAGCTATATTCAACGGCTTGGCTAGGCTTTAAACAAACAAAGGTTGATCATAATATTATTTAATCGATAGAGCATGCTTGTGAGGCGATCTTTGGCCACTGCTCTGCAACTTCACGGGGAACTGGACCTGAAATCTGGGTGCCCTTAAGATCGCCTTTGTTGTCAATCAAACAGCACGCATTATCTTCAAAGCAAATGTTGCATCCGTCCTTTCTTTTCCAGATCTTCTTCTGTCTAATGAGCACACAGCAGACTACTTTTTTCCTGAGATCGGGCTTTCCCTTCTTTACTGAGCAAACAACTATGTCTCCTGGAGAGGCACAGGGAATCCGGTTCAGTCTACCAACGAATCCTTTTACACCGATAACCTTGACCTCCTTTGCTCCAGAGTTGTCTACTACCTTCAGACGAGCCTCGGTCTGTATGCCTCTTGTCATCCTAGTTCTTGGCTTCTTTGGAATAGCTGCTTGCTTGTATTGTGTTGCTTTCTCTGCTGCCATGTGGGAGTAAAAATTTTCAAAAACTTTTGCAGATTTTGAAAAGAAAATACTTTTTGCAGTCTGAAGGACGCCAATTTCTGAACTTGCTTAAATGCACAAGCTAAGTAAAAATTTACTACGGCGTCTTAGGTGAATCTTTGAAATTAGATCAATCCGTTGGATGCCATTATGAAAGATTAGCGTAACTTTCATTTGAATATTCAAGACGCAGCCATAATGAACTTTATGCCAAGTGAAGTATTTATTTTATTTTTTACCTGATCTAGGCACATTGTGCTTAAAATAAATAATATCACCATCTTTAATAACATACTCTCTTCCCTGCTGCCTGTACTTTCCAACTGATTTCATCTGTGCCTCTGAGGGATGTTTAGCAAATTCATCGTATTCCATCACTTCGGCCGACATAAAGTATCTCTCAAAATCAGTGTGAATAACACCTGCTGCTTTCGGCGCTTTATCCCCTTTGCAAATAGTCCAGCTTTTAACTTCGTCCTTGCCAGCAGTGAAGAAATTTATCAGACCAAGACTTTCATAGCCTTTATCGACCAGTTTTTTAACAAACTTATCAGGAAAAGGCGGAAATACATCTGGGCTTTCCATTCCTAGTGTTGCATTTATCTGAACCACGGATGGCCCATACAGTTCCAGTACTCTCCTCAAATGCTCGTTGGCTACATCTTTGGAGTTATCATGCACAGCACATGAAGATAATTCTGGGGAATTATCTGAATTATCTTCCACCATATCAGTTGGTAATGAATTGGTATTGGCTAATATCACTACGTTCTTTGTTGTAAGGAGACTCAGGCTGTTGATGTATTCAAGTTCATCATTGTCGAAATATTCCTCGTTAATCCATCTGTGCTCTAAAATGTCAATCAGTCTTTTGTGTGTGTTATAAGCAATGGCTACTTTCTTATCTGTCTTCTTAGAATTGTACAGCCTTTGTATTTTATCAAAACTGTCCTTTAGCATGTCTCGGTCTTTGATTCTCAGCTCATCCCTAACTATATTAATATCCCTGATAGGATCTACAGAATTTTCAACATGTAAAATACTGTTGTCTTCAAAGCATCTTACAACCAAAAATATTCCATCTACATTCCTAATATTATCTAAAAATTCGTTTCCAAGACCACTTCCACTACTTGCACCACGCACAATGCCTGCAATATCAGTAACAGTAAGATAGGCATGGACGGTACTTTTAGGCTTGTATATTTTCTCAAGAAAGGCAACTCTGGGATCATCGATTTTTACACGACCAAGAGAGTGTTTTATCGTGCAAAAGGGATAGTTCTCAGCAGGGACACAGGACTTTGTCAACCTGTTAAATATTGTGGATTTTCCAACATTTGGCAATCCAACAATCCCCATGCTTAGATTTGGAGATTTATTAGCTCTTTGAAATAAAGTTTTCGTTCTTGTCTCTTCGACCTTTTTAGCCATTTGAGGGGCAAAAAATGCAAGTTATACAAATGTCAAAAGTGAATGGCTTGGCAGTAAAAAGCAGGTGCTCAGCTTATTTTCCTGGGTTTCACAATCTTTATTA